TTTTTTACATACAGGTATAACAGAATAGCTTTAGTGTTGTTATTTATTTAAACTTGAGTATAAACTTATACAAAATGCAGCAAGACATTAAAAAAAACGTTTTATTGATTAAAAAACACACTATATCGGATTCATATCGGTATCGGCAGATATCCAAATTTATGATATCGGTATCGGTATCGGACATAAAAAAGTGGTATCGTGCCATCTCTACTTTAGTGCAGAATACCCTTTGTATTATATGTATATAGAATATATATTCTTTTAAAACTCAGGGACAGGAATTAATTCAATGAAGATGCTAGGACTGATGAGCCGATGAACTTTGAATAGCTAATTCAAACTAACTCAAGCTTTTATCATTCAAACTATTGTCAGAGCAAACTGTCTTCATAGTACCAACAATGTCAGCTTTGATCTGAAGGCAGGTTTCTATGCCTGTTGGTTTCTTGTATCATTCTGAACCACCTCTCTGAATTTAGAGGTTGTTCACTATAGAGAGCAGTCCCTGAGGGAGCAATCAGTTATATCACCTTGTCCATGAGATGTCTGAAGGCTTCAGACTGCAACAGTTATTTAAGACACTCTGAAGTTTTTCCAGTGTTGATTGGGCACATTGAGATGGCTTGTCAGTCAACGGAGATATCCAGGTCACTGATTTTAACAACACTCAACACTCACTTAACTACAATGGGCTTTAGAATCTAAAATTTGACTTTCATTTCTTCAACAATTTTACTTGATATAAAATCTAATGAAATTTAAACTGGTAAAAACAGCAAAGAGTGATGGGGTCAGGAGAGAAAAGACAGCTCTGTCAGTCCTGTTTTAATGGGTGTGGTTAAAGCAGTTATAGACTACACTTCCAAATCCTTTGTTTAAAGAGATTAACTTTTCAAGATTTTCCTAATAACAGGGTGATTTCTCTTAAGCAGAAGCCACATTTTTCTTTGATCATAACTAAAAAATAGGAAGTAATCATTATGCAAACTTTATAAAAAATAAGAACTGAGTTCTATAATTCATATTTAAAAATGTAAGTCAGTACTTCAGACAGTGTGCTACATTTAGGTAACCACAGTGACACAATTTCAATAATAGCAGATGCAACACTAATTCTGTTGTTAGACAAAGTGGTTAGCCATGAACTCATTTACCACTTGTCCTTTAACCATATTGATAATTTATCCCTTGTTATTTTACATAATGCTTTAGTTTAGACATTGCTGGTGTAACTTTGCTTTACATACTATCCTGGGTTTGTTTGTGGTAGCATTAGTTACATCTATTACATCCATGGAAATGCAAACACTACTAACCATCAGGCCATTTGAATGTTCTTCTGTTCACAGGTAAATTTCTAGTAAATTGTGTTTGCTTATGTTGTTTACCATGTTTGTCCAATTATTCAGGTCCTATATCTAAAACAGGTGTGTGGGAGGGGCCGCCTCAGTACTTCCTGTTTACATAGGGTCATGATGTCATTGAGCGCGTCACTGGGGGAAACCAAATGAAGGGTTTTTCATTTTGCATAGTATTGTTTATTTTCTTTAAAGTAACCTTTTGATTTGTATTGTATGCAGTGTTTAACTTTTCAAACCACTTAACTGTGTAAATGAGTTTCTCAATCGGATGCATAATCTTATTCCTGTTTTTTGTTTGGAATCGTATTGTTTGGTCTAACCTATATTTCAATGGTAGAGACTAATGAGGTTCAGGTGTGTTTAAATTCCTGTATAAAGCAAGTGACAGTTTTACCCACCAGAGTGGTTTTAAAATGGTATAACGGAGATGCCAGAAATAAAGTACACTTAAAAGAAACTTAACCGGTATGCTGATGCTATCTACTTATCACCTTCCTTGCCACTTGGTCTACCTCACAAGACTCACAAGACTCAAGAAATATAAAAGTATAAAAGTAACTCTTTCATATAACCTAAAGAAATCATGGCAATGTGTTTTTAATGACACAGTAAATGAAAAGTAAATAAATATTTGCATCTTACAGTAAATCTCATAAAAACATTTAGTTTAGGACATTACAGGATTAAATAATTTATATTGACCACATTCTAGTACCATTTTGACATTTCTTCAGTAAAGCAAATGCAGTGTTTTCACTGCTGGTATGCATATGAATATATAGATGTATGGTAGAGGCACAGGTGATTTCTCCAAAGAGTGGGGAGGCAATCCCTCAGGCTCGGGACAGAGTAATATAAAGCCTATTATATAGTTCTGGAAATAACACAGTCATTTGTCCCTGAATTGTCCATTCTGAAAAAAAATTATAAAGTCCCCCAAAGTAATTTTTTCTAAGTTCTTTTCAGGTCTTGCAAAGAAAACACAGTCTTATTGGTAAACTTGGTTATTGAGGGTGTCTTGCTATAATTCAAGCTGGCATCTGGATAACTTTCTGGGCAGAGGGAGATATTCCTTGTGTGCATGGCCAATATCCTGCTTGTTGCTTTTATGATTATAACTTTAAGGTCATTTTAGGGCATTTCTGTGGAATCGCAGTTTGATACATGAAGCTGCTTTTGTCTCTAGTGGTACCTTATAGCAATGTTATGTTTGCTATATTAGGCTCAGTGCTGTGAGATTTATTTAATGTTTCAACTTTGTCTTACCTATTTTCTTCCGCAGACATCCCATGTAATGTTGACAAGCCAAGGTGCAAACTTGTTTGCAGAAAGCATTGGTATAAGCACAGTCCCCACTGAAACCCTGGTGACTGAGTATGAGAGGAGAGAATGGGAGAAGCACAAGAATTACATGACTGGAGTAATAGAAGATTTCAACACTCAATGGTATGCATCTGCAGGATCAATTTCAATTCATTTGTATTGGATTTATATAGCACCAAATCACAACCGCAGTTGCCTCTAGGTGCTTTATATTGTAAGGTAGAGAAAACCCAAATAATCAAAAGATCAAGCAAGCATTTGGTGACAGTGGGAAGTAAAAAATCCCTTTTAAAAGGAAGAAACCTCCTGGAGAACCAGACATGAGAGGCAACCATCTGCCGCGACAGCCGGCGGGTGAGGGGAGAGAGACAGAACAGAAGACATATTGTAGAAAAGAGCATTTAATCATCAGTTATTATTAGTTATTAATAATTGAATGCAGAATGGCACATAAAGACACAGAGAGTAAACAAGGTGAATGAAGAAGAAACACCAATAGGAAGCCCCCAGCAGCCTAGACCTAGGTTTATGAATTTACGAAAACTAAAAATGATATTGATATTTATTAGGCAAATAAAGGTCACATTTTGAAATTTGGGCCAGTTTTGGCATCAACCTTACATTGATCAGTTGTCTAAGCACTGTGTGTTATAATGAATCAAATGAGCTTCCCCCTTGTGATGCTATGTCTGAAAACATTTCAGATCTAATTTGCATTTTCTTCTGCAGCTGATTTTTTTTGAATAATGTAACATTTCTTCATCCCAGGGCTCATGATACCGTTGGGGCGGTAGCTCTCGACTCTGCTGGTAATGTTGCATGTGCAACATCAACGGGAGGGATTAGGAATAAAATGGTTGGAAGAGTAGGAGACTCCCCAGTCATTGGTATGACTTTATTTATTTACATGTTCTAAAATTGCTGTTTTAACACTGACAGTAAAATGATATTAAGTCAAAGCAAAGACCTTACATTGTCCAAACATTTCATTTAATCATACTCTTCACTTTACTACAGGTTACTTTAGCATATTCACTGCAATCTGCAAAAAGGTGTTTTAATGTTTGCTTCTGTTGTTCACGTTGTCTCTTGTAAATAAGGCTGTGGAGGATATGCAGACAACTTGAATGGTGCAGTATCCTGTACCGGCCATGGAGAATCTATTCTTAAAGTCACACTGGCCAGACTCATTCTTTCAAAAATTGAACAAGGTAAAGTATCACAAGCGCAAACAGTTTGTTTATGGGAATTTATCCGTTCTTCATGTTTTAGTTCACTATCCTGAACAGTGCAACTCATGTAATTTTGAGTAATTCCAGTTTTGTAATATTGCCTCTCACAGTTATTTAGTAAATTGTGTTTCTGAGCAGATTAACCCTTAAGGACCCACAGTGACACTGGTGTCACTGCCCCTTTACACTTAGAGACTTGGTTATATATGATTCATTTGATATAAGACCCCCGTAATTTTCATGAAAGTAGAAATAGGTCTGGGCTCTTAAGGGTTAAGAAGATCTTAGAAGCAATTATTAAATGAGAATGTGCTGTGAAATAACACAAGCTGAAGTTAATTTTCCACTTTTCATTAGCCGCCTGTGTTCCTATTTCTTCTCCACTTTACAGGTAAATCAGTAACAGAGGCTTCGCAGATGTCTCTGCAGCACATGGGAGACCGTGTCAAAGGAGCCGGAGGTGCAATTGTTGTTTCTCCTTCAGGCCACTGGGCTGCCACATTTACCACTGAGCGAATGGCTTGGGCTGCTGTGGAACAGGACGTACTGTGGTATGGATTAGACCCGCATGAGAGATTAAAAGAGCAGTTGCCCCAGTAAAAGCAATAAAAAAAATAACACTTATTTCTTCTTATTAATCACTGTGCAATGTGAAACTTTTCTTATATAATTTAATTTTATAATTTTTAACTCACTGTTTCTAACTTGTATTAAACAAATTTGCTACAACATAAATAAAATCCATTTTTTTTTATTTTAAAGGTTGAATATTAAAATAAGCATTATATACATATACTGTGAAAATGTGGTTAAAAAAAAACAAACATTTTTAGAGATTGAAGTTTAGTAAGTGTTAAACATAGAAATGCATGACTCAGTGCATTTATTTGTTTTTATTTTGATAAGAAAATCTTTGCTCTTTAATCTTTGAATCCTGGATCACATTTCCAAGTAAAGGATGTCTGACTTAAACGTTTTTCCTAAATTTTGTAATGAAAAATTACTTTAAAGTTACACTGTTTGAAAGACTGTATTGAAGTAATGTTAGATCCTATTGTGGTAGGTAAAGTTGCACTGAGTGATGACTAATGGATGAATGCAATAAAGGATATATATAGTATGTGCAAATGTGTTATTTCTTTTAATGTTGATCTCTTGAATCTTAAATAACTGAAACACATCCATCCTTTTATTTAATTAATTTTCATCAAAAGTCATTTGATTTTCAGCACTCTTAAAGCATCCCTATTAAAGCAGACTGTATCATTCATGAGCATCTCGTTCATCATGTAAACAACATTGTTGACCTTACTTAATATTTTGAAACAACTGGACTGCAACACGCTTACATTTTTGTATTCTTCTTTAATCTTCATATCTCGGTTATTGTGCTGGTCTGGGGTGTAAAGTATATGACATCAGTTTCAAACCCAACACTATAGAAAAGAGATATTTGGATATTACACAAGATGGGTTCAAGAGATTACACCAGCAAATTGTTTTCTGAAATCTCAGTTAGTAAAACTTCACGATAAGGTTGACTCAAAAATGTCATTCATTATGTTCAAAGAAATAAATGCAACATTAACTGCCAATCTGAAGAAGTTATTTACTACAAGATTCAAATCTGCTGAGCAAAGGAGAAAGCTTCATTTATTTTCTCTAACCAAAGGATCATCAAGATGTTTTTGGCAAATAAGACACAAGCCTTTGCACTCTCTTTGGTCAGCAGTGGTTTTCACCTTGGAACTGCATCGATGTCATTTTTGCAAAGTATCTTTCTTGTCATTTACTCATGAAGACATGTTCGCTGAATTCCCATAGTCTTAGAAATGACTCTGTAACCCTTTCCACACTGATAGATATCAGTGACATTTGTCTCTCAGCTGCTCTTGTGTTTCTTTAGACCTTGGCATGATGTGCTGTTTTTTTGTTTGTTTGTTTTGTTTTATCTTTTAGTCCACTTGACTTGATTTCTTAATACCCGGGTCTGGCAGAAATCAACCCCAGGTGTGTCTGGGAAAAATTGAACGCAGCTTTCCAAAAAATGTGGTTCACATTTAATTTATCATTTCCAAAGAGGTGCAATTACTTTTTCACATAGGGTCAAGTAGGTTTGGATAGCTTTTTTCCCCTTAATATATGAAATTGCCATTTAAAAATTCTTCTTGTGTTTACTTACGTTCTTTGTCTAACATTTAAATATATTTGATGATCTGAAACATGGAAGTATGAGAAATATGCAAACGACTTAAGAAATAATCCTTGATGATCATGATTTTATATATTTTAACTCAAATGAACTCAAACATCATGAATAGTATGAGCCCTCGAAGAGTTAAACTTAAACTTTAAGGAGCTTTTGCTCGCCTTTTTCCTTATATAAAAATGTTTCTATTACAGGACATGCACTCAGAAAAGAATGGCAAATCTACTTTACTAAGTAACCGACTGTTTTCAATACCAGGCTGTGTTAAATATGTAACTTTGCCAGTTTTATAAAGCGAAGCTTTCTTCGAGTCTGTCCAGCTTCTCGTGTCCTCTACGTGCGACGGTCGACAGTTTGATAAAAACAAACCGCTTGCTCTTCGTGAAAATTAACCATCCGGACACTGACAAAGCAGACACAACAAAAACAAACCATCCAGATGTGCTCTCTCTGTACAATCGGCTGCTAAGCTACCTGTAAACACTAGCCACGTGACAACGCCGCGCTGCCTGTCAGGGACTTTGCAGCATCGGGGCGAATGACGGCTGAGTTGGAGGAAGTTACTGGGAGCTGCTTTGCTAGTATGTAACCGTACATGAGTTGGCAACAGCATCGCGACAAGAGAGGTGGGAGTGCTATAAATATGTATATGTAAAAATAACTACTTGTAAATATTTGAGCTGCAAGCGTTGGAACAGATGCATGTGGGGGGTCATCAAGTAACGTCCGCTAGCTGCACTCAGGCTACAAACAAACTTGGCAGCTAGGGCCTGTGCTATAGCCGCCTAGCTAGCTCGCCGTCGTGCATATTTATCGTCGAGCTGTCTAACCATATGTTTGCACATTTTATTTGGCGCTTTTGAAATTTTCGGGCGCGGCTGTTTATTGATACAAATGTGCTGCTTGTAAAGCTGAATGGGTTTCAAAAAGTGAGTTAGCTTGGGTGGTAACTTCCTCCATAAGTTACCGTTAGCTTGCTAACAGACGCGATTGTCATAAGCTGACATAAACGTTAGCATGTTAACTAGCTAACAACTCATTGGCAAAACCTGGCGTCAGGAACGCCGTGCTTCTCGTGGACAGAAAGATATTTTTGGCTGAACTTAAATAAAAGCGTCCAGAGATGCACTTTAGTTTGCTAACATTCATGTAGCGTTATTGGTTTGCACACTGATTGTGGCCTTCTCCAGGCTGTGAAGTCGTGGTGTTGCTTGATGTGAAAATAGTAGCATTTACTATTGCAAGTCGTTGGTTTTAGACATGCTTTTCTTGTATTTACATTACTCACCCGATAAAAGTATTTGAAAATGCACAGAAACAAAAATAGCAGTGGCTAAGAAGCGTTGGGTTAACGTATTAGGACTGCAGAGTAGCTGGATGAGGCTTCCCATATGTGGAGATTTAAGGTATATACTACTTTGCTCATCAGATACAACATGTATACACTGAACTGATGGCAAAGTCTTCAGAAAGTGCACCGATCGCTCGCTGTAACTTTGTTTTTTGTTTGTTATCAGTCACAAAGTTTTTGCTGTCCCTCGAAATCAGGGAATATTGTGTTTTTGTTGGTTTGCTTAGTTTGTACTACAATTGTCCCCATAATTGGATGCATTCTGTGGTGCAGGGAGAAACATAAGACGTTGCTGTCTTTGAAAAACAAACAGAAAAACATATATTAACAGTTTATCAGTTGTCTGCTATTCCTGCATCTTTTCTGTGTTGTTTTTGGTGCAGGAAGGCAGCAGCATTCATGGATATTGTGGACACCTTTAACCATTTAATACCCAGTGACCAGTTGGATGACTCCCTGGTAATAGGTCAGAATTTGGAGTGTGAAGCCAGTAATGAGTTTGGGACAGGACTCAGACTGGAAGATTCACTGAAGAACATGCTCAGTGACAAAGATCCCATGTTTGGATGTGCAAGCACTCAGTTCAGTCTGCTGGATAATGAAGACCCTGCTTTTCAGATTGCTGGCTCCACAAGTATGTTTGAAGGCACAAAAAAAAAGTGGCCAAAATGTAGATAAATCAGTGTAGATTCAAACTTTGAGTGAAAGTTAACTAACAGATGCATGTGTGGCTGCCTGGAAAAAAAAAGTCATCCACACTTTACTTGAAAAGTTGATGGTGAAAGTTTTAAATATTAAGTTGTTAATGTATAACTCTGATTCTTTACCTACAGAGTATTTTATCTGTGCTGATTTTTGCTCAGTTAGACTTTAACTCTTTAGGTGTTTCAAAAAACAAACACTGTAGAGGGTCGTCTTGTACTGAGATATGCAGGGAACATTGTCACCGTGCTTCTTTACTTGTCAACACGTAAATATCAGCGTTAGGGTAATTGAAGGTAAATTAAAGTAGTGTTGTTTCAGTAATGATGGCGTAAAATAAGAACATTTTTTTAAAGAAACAATATAAAAGGATTCAGTATTATTATAAATGTAGCAGTGTCAGACTGCCATTGAATTTGGACTGCAGTTTTTACATTTTTTTTCAAATTGTATTTTTATTGAGGACATTACATTTATTTATTTTTGCTTTTGCAGGTCTCGATAGTGGTTCGGCACCCACAGGCCTCCCTGGTGAACCAGCTGTTTCAGAGAGTGCACAAGTTAAGCAACTTGATGTCAGGCAGAAGAAACGTTCACGCAGTTTAGAGAACGGTAAGTTGATGCAAGTTTATTTTCTTTCTCTTTCCACCCTGTGAGACTTTTAGGGATGTACACAACTAGATGCTTAAACATTGCTGCCCTTGCGATTTGGTTACATTTAGTATTTTTATTAATATACAGTCGCAGTTACTGGTTCAAAGGTGTTACGACACCACAGGGCTCCAGTCCCAACAGACTGTTTCTCTCTTCTTCGCTCTCTCTTTTTTTTTTTGTAAACAAGCAAGGGGCAAAGCAAATAGATGACAGCCGTACTAATGTGGAAAAAAAAGAAAAGGAATAAAAGAGCAGCAGTGTGTCAATTTTTTTGAATAAAAAGTAGAATACCAACCTAAGCCAGATGTAACCATATTCTTTAGCCAGATGTGGACAGACAGAACCAAATACATGAAGGATTCCGGTGCTAGTACTGCTAAGGTTACCCTAGCTCTGCAAAATAATCTGATATTGTGTGTGTGTTTGCAAAACTATTCACACTGGAACATGTTGCACATTTCACTGGGGAAGGTCATTAACAGTTTTAATATATCCTCTAAAATACACAGGAAGTATTTATTTGGCTAATGTAGAACTTCTTCCATTTAAAGTGCACTCAGTTAATGTTTTCTATGTTTTTCCCCCGTCTTTTAGAGTAGTCGACTAGTCTGCTTTTAAAATTTAACCTTTATTTAACCAGGAAGATCCCATTGAGATTAAAACCTGTTTTTCAAGGGAGACCTGGCCAAGATAGCATAATAGTCACCAAGAACATCAGCTGCTTTTAAGTTTTGCTTTTGTTTATTTAACCAGAACACAGTGGTGACCAGGAGCCTAGCACACCCACCAATACCATGACCCGAGGGCGGCCGGCAAGGAAACCAGCCAACAGGCTATTCAAGTCATTTCTTATTGAGAAAGGAGTCACAGGTCCTGATCTAAAGAGAGAATTAACTCTCGGAGGACGTGTCAACATTAATGAGCTTGATGGTGGGGTCTGGCTGAATCCAACTGTTGTATTGAGACGACTGACAGTCACAATTGGAGGTTTCAAGATTGAATTGCTACCAGGACCCTCGTACACACAGGGTGTCGATGCAAACCAGTCTGCATGCTCGGACGATGGTTTTTCTTATGGTGGGGAAGTTGGTTTCACAGTTTTGCCAGATGAAGCAGCCAGTGTACAGAATCCCGTAGCAGAGAGTGTGGAAGAGATGGATGTAAGTCAGAAGAGCTCAGCTGATGATGCAAGTCATGGGCTGGGCCCA